ACATACACACACATACAGATACACAAACCGACACACAAAGTTAGCGCTTTATAAAATAGAAGGATTGATATAACCACATGCGAGCATCTGTACAGACCAACATTATTCGAGTTAAAAAGAACGCTAACCGTGACCTAATTTCAAATATGTAGAATATATCTCTTGCATTGGTCTCGCACAACACGAGAAGCTCATCGTCCTTTTGCTACTTCCATGACGTCTCACTTTAAAACTAAGGTAATGCGCATTTTGTTGACAAGTTCCGGGGATGGGGACGCTTCTGGATTGCGGTGCAGCTTTAATTTTCCGAGGAGTTTCTCCACTCGTGATGCTCATTCCTAGGGACTCTCGCCTCCACTGCCGCGTGGTCCTTCTCCGACATTACACAAAAACTAGGCTTTCTGTGGAAAACTGCGTCTGACTTACAACCATCTTACTCAACATGCCTTTTCTGGGCTCATCTGCTCCCCATTTTCTTGCGCAAAAAGAAATCAAGGATATAATATAATTTTACCAACGTTCATATTATAAGCAAGTATTATAATAGATTAGTCTCAAATGCACTGGGCTCTACGCATGTTTATGGATAACGAGCAACATGTCGCTCCGCTCTATCGGACAACGAGTAGACTCAGATCGCTGTACTGTTTCTGGCAGTGAGTATTGGCCTCTCCTATTCAATTGTAATCTCAGATGCTTAAGTGATAAAAAAATACTAAAATTAGCGTTCGTACTCGTTAAGAAAAACTAGCTCATTAATAACTGAGCTGTTAGAAGCTGTTTAAGTATATCATTACAAAAGTTTTGCATTGACAGGAAAAGGTGCATATTAGCTCGACCCAGTCGAATGAAACTCGAAGTGTGTTCCTATACGCACCTTGAACGCTGCGCTCAAATCTGCTCCGTAATCTAAAGCTATTCTCTCGAGAGAAATAGGTTTCCTCTTACGCCCTTACTTTTTACGGTTTTGCCTGCAACTACGTTTAGGCTCCATTTAAACGTGGCGAAGAACCAGCAAGGACAGCTTCGGTGGTGCAGCTGGTTGCGGAATTGCTTCTAGAGCAAAGGTTGCGGATTCGGTAACTTCCGGACTTTGCTGATTTGCTTTTACCTGCGCAGCCAAAAACACTTCCATTTCATCAGTCATCGTCTGAAGCTACTTCTCTGAAGAGCTTGTAAGCTGATAATTTGAGATTCAATCCCATGAGTGCTACATAAGTGCTTACTTGCCAATAGGTGTCCGTACTGCAGATGCTAGTCTTCCTTGTAGCAAATAGATACTATATTTGCGTCCAGAGTTGAATTTTTCCTGAAGACGGCTTATGCCCAAACTGAGGTTATGACTCAAGAAAAAGAGGGGTAGTAATGGGGTCCGCACTGCTCAAATTCCTAAAGGGCCAATCATGGAGAGTGGGGAGGTGAGAGAGGGGGTTCTATTTGGAATCACCGCCTACCAGATCCTAGGGTGATGAAGTCGGGCAGCCAGACACTACTTTTATCCTTTCTGAAAGTGTTCAGGCTTATTCCATGTTGATGTCACCTTTTTGTAAGGATTGATGGACAAGTAAGTGACTGCTCAGATCTTGAGGTCGGGCCAAAATTCCAGATTTGGCCAGAAGTTTGCATAAAAGGGAACTGCTGAAGTGTTCCACTCACTGCTGATTACGAATATAACAATTGCTTGGAGCGGGAATTCCTGGCTAGACAAGCGCTAGAGTAGTCAGCAGCGAATGCCTCTCAAATCCGTTATTTACTGCCCTCAAAGTCTTTGCACAGGTAACTATATACGCTATAATAATACCATAATATATACGCTATTATGGTTGGCTAGCGATGATAGCACTGTTTCTAGCTATGTAACCGGGGACGGCAAAAGAGCATGCTCGATAAGTACTTAATCCACAACCTCTCCTCTGTGGTCCACACCTCTACCACTTCGCATTTCTGCTTCATGATCCCTTTCAGAGAAGATCTGGTACATAAGGAAAGCTCAGCCTTTCAAGACGCGTATAGAAATGCATATCTAATTTTGGTTGACCGGATTGACCAAATGACCTTTCCTTGTAAGAACTGATGAACTCCTCACAACTGATGTGGGCAGAACTCTACTGATTGCTTCCACGTTGTTCATGACAATGCACGCAATAATACAAACGGCGACCACCCAATGGAGAATAAGTGAGGTGGATACCTAAAAGATCAATGTCATTATGAAGACGCTCCACTGCACCAACATAGGTTGCACGTCGGTCACTTGTTTTTGCAGTCTTTGCAACAAATGAGAATAAGAACTTTAGAATTCAAGGGCATTGAGCATTATTTTAGCACATACGCCGGTGGCAGCCCATATGGTCTACAAGAAGAATCGTGCTCGTGGGACGATGGCAGCCAATATGGGTTGCCAGCTGGTAATCGCTTGCCACGCGCTTTAAATGAAAAGACTTTTGGAACGAGCTTGGAACTCGTTTAAATTCCTTCACCTGGGAATTGAATAAATGCTCTCTTTTCGTTACCACTATACTGTTAGGGAAAGACAGGCCCGCCCCTAGAAACCACCTATGATCAGCTGGTTCGAGCACTGTAGGTCAAAGAGGAGGCTGTAGTTGTTGGCCGCGGGTGGTCATAGGAGACCACTTTGACAGGGGGAAACCGTACGGGCGGGAATGTTCCTACAAAGGGGTCCAGGAGTCAGGGTGGCAGGCGGCTAGGAGCAGCAGTGGCCCGAGAGAGAGGGCCCAAGCTCGATAGAGTTGAGCCAGGGGTAGCCTAAGTGGCTGTGTGAGGAGATCCTAAGTGGCTGGTTATAGGGAGCCTGAGTGACTCGATTTGATAAGCCTTTGTGGGGCCTGAGTTTGTAAGCCTCCGTGGCAGTGAATTGAGCGAGCCTCAGTGGCTCGACGTGGGAAGCCTTTGTGGCTGACGCCAAGGAACAGTTCGCGCCGTGCACCCGACTGTGGTCCGAATTCGGCGGTCGCCTTCGAGTTCGCCAACTACGACTCGTCTCCGTGCCTCCGTACTACCTATCTCAACCAACCTTACTGTTTATTGAATTTGTTTGTAAATAAACCTTTTCTTTTTCTGCTCGTCTTTCACGCACAGTTGAAAAGGTCATACTCCCACACCGCAGTACACAATCCAGGTTATCTAACTTTACATGTGGGCCGAAGCGTCTGCGAGTGGCAAGTAACTGAGCGAACTCAAGGGAGATAAGCCGTTTAGACAGAGTGAGCATTCGAAGTGAGCATAAATTACGATGTTCCTGACGTAGTCATGTACAATGAGCGTCGCAGCGTCCGCCGCTCGCAGCGTCCAGCTTCGGCAGTGTAGGCTAGGGTGGCGCAAGGCCACTCCAGCGTGCGTGCCATCCTCCACCTCCTACATGAACGGCGCTCAGTATAGTTGGCGGGTTGGCTCGACATATTCTCTCTCCTTTGAGAGAGCGCAGAGAAAACGAATAGTGGGAGGCGAGCACGCACTTCAGCGCGTCAATGCGTCGCGCATTGTACGTGACTACAGCAGAACATTATAATTCACGCTTTACTTCGGGTGCTCGCTCTGTCTAAACGGCTTAAGACGACTCAAGGCGAGAGGTGTCGACAGCCATACGAGAACGAAACTGCGATAGGTAAGGACGATAAGGTTTTCCAAAAAGTGATAGGCTCCCCAGATAGGAGAAACAGCACTGAGGGTGTAGAGCATGAGTGGGACGTTTTTCTCCAAGTTTTGGGTGAGGCCCAGCGCAGAACAAACGAGATCCTCGTAATGTCAAGAGTGTTGAATCAAGTCAAATAGAGGTGGAGCATGTATGGATGAAAGTTCTGGAGGACATAGAGGAATTAAGGAGGGGAAGTGAAGGCAACTGTTGCCCCACTACTAGAGAAGGATATTGTGGAGACTCTATGTCAGGGAGGAATTGATTATGTTAAAGATTGGAGAGAGTATATAGAGACTCATGGAAACAAGACGGAGAAGCTGAATCAGAAATTTGTAAAATATTGGACACTGATGTGTTGAACGTGAAAAGAGAGATCGTGGCTTTCCAGGAGCATCAAAAGCATAAGGAAGAGCCAAGAGGTATCCAAAGTTCGGTGAGCCAGCCGAGGTGGCTTAACGAAGGAGCTGGTCATACGATTCGATTCCCAGGCGATGCGTTCGATTGGTCTAGACTATGTTGTCCCCTCAACGGTATATTCGCCAGTTTCGCCTGCGGCCCGACCAGCAATGGAAGACCCAGGCGTATCAGTCTTGACATATGTTAGGTCTATGGCGTGCGGAGACCCAGGAGTATTCACGGGTACTAAACAGGAGAATTTCGAAGAATTTGTGAGGAGATTTAAGAGAAAATACGAGAAGGTGATAGGATGCGAGGCCACCTAATAGAAATTCTAGGTGATGATCATTTAGGTGGTAGAGCAAAGAATATTTCACGGCCCTTCCTAGAGCGATAAAGGAACGAGGTTTGGGACGTGATCATTGGGGAAATGACCAGGCTGCTGTCGCAGGAGTCGACAGCAGGGAGGATGAGAGCCCTCACAGAACTGAGGAGCTTGAGAATGAGAGCTGGCCAAGAGGTGGCCGATTTCTGCACTGCGTTGGAAGACTTGGGAAGGAAGGCCAACCCAGATTGTTCTATTGAGGATCGCTCGTTGGAATACGCGCAGATTCTGCTGGATAATCTCAGCGATGGCCGGAGCACTTTCAACTGGTGGGGGCTTTGCACACAGTGGCCCCGCAAGGCATATGAGGAAGTAAAGCAACTAGCGCTGAGCGTTGAGCAGTTCAAGGTCATGCTCGAGTTGGAAGGAAATCGAGTATGGGTCAGTGGAAGAAGGAGGGCCACACAATATCGTAATCGTGAAGAGATGAGTATACCAGAAGAGGACGCGTTTTCTCACAATGAGGAGGAGGACGCGAGAGGAAAAATGGCTAGGCCAGAAGAAAGATACGAGCGAGGAAAGTATCACGAAAATTCAAAGTACAACGATGAATCCTAGAGGTAGATGCGGTACTTTACGCCCAGGTCTTCGCAAGTGGATTCCGAAAACAGAAAGTGTTTCAAATGTCTAAAATATGGCCATTTAGCCAGAAACTACCATCAGTAATCGATAAGTGTGAATTTGGTCAAGAAACACTACAGGCTGAAAAGCTTACTTTGCTGGAGATCATTAGTTAAGCTCGTAGTATGGGTATGAAATCAGACGAGAAGGTGGAAATACAGATGAGCTGATAGGTGACCGAATTATTAAACAGTTAAGCCTATTGGGTGACAAGAATCTAGCACTGGTAGACACAGGCTCAATAATCAGTGCAATTCCAGTAGATACTAAGCTAGCTGAAGCCCAAAATAGGGGAGTTGACGTGGACACACTAAGACTTGTTGAGAAGTCTCAACTTGCGCATGTTTTCGGGGCATCCAAAAGAAGCATGGAATTTCTAGAAGCAGTATTCATTGAGACGGAGCTAGAAGGAGGAAATCGGGGATTGGTACCGCTTCAAATTAGCCCAAGTAAGGGCAGTGAGATTCTCTAGGTACTAATGCCCAGAGTAAGTGAGGTGTAGCTCTGTCTGTAGTCGCAGACAATGAGAGAAGTAGAGAACAGCGAATAGACAGAGCGCACGTGAAAAGTGCAACGGTAGTAAGGCGTATAGGAGTATCACCGTGTAGGTCAGTCGTGGTGTCATCATTGTCAAGGACCGTGATAAATTTGCAGTGGAACTAGAAAGATCGAGATGGCCCAATAGGAAGGAGGAAGCAAATAGCCTCTGCGCCAAGCAAGATCAAATTTCGCATCGTTCTTTTCCAACAGTGCGGTCAGGGAACGTAGAAGAGGACTAAAGAGGAGAAAGAATGAGGTAAAGATGAAAACCATTCTGAGAAAACTTGCCAGAGATGCAGGGCCACACCACTGGAATGTGTGCTCATGTGGAGCTGCGTCAAAGCAGTTGGATGTCGTTTGCTTAAGAAAGTCGCATCGCGCCCGTCACCTAGTAGCAGAGGAACGGTCGATGAGGACATCGACTTCAGCGAGGGGGGGCATGTTAGGGAAAGGCATGCCTGCCTCAAGACGCCAGCTATGATCAGCTGGTTTGAGCACGGTAGGTCAAGGAGGAGGCTGTGGTTGTTGATCGCGGGTGGTCATAGGAGACCACCTTGCCAGAGGGAAACCGTTCGGGCGGGAATAACCTATAAAAGGGGTCTGGAGTCAGGGTAGCTTTCGACTAGGAGCTGCAGTGGCCCGAGAGAGAAAGGGCCCAAGCTCGATAGAGGTGAGCCAGAGGTAGCCTAAGTGGCTTGTTATAGGGAGCCTGAGTGGCTCGATTTGATAAGCCTTTGTGGGGCTGAATTTATAAGCCTTCCGTGGCAGTGAGTTGAGCGAGCCTCAGTGGCTCGACGTGGGAAGCCTTTGCGGCTGACGACAAGGAATAGTTCGCGCCCGACTGTGGTGCCGAATTCGGCGGTCGCCCTTGAGTTCGCCAACTACGACTCGTCTCCGTGCCTCCGTACTAGCGATCTCAACCAACCTTACTGTTTATTAATTTTGTTTGTAAATAAACCTTTATTCTTTCTGCTCGTCTTTCACGCACAGTTGAAAAGGTCACTACTCCCACGTCGCAGTAAACAATCCAGTTGATCTAACCCTACAATTCGTCGTTTTTATCGAAATCCTACTATTATATGTTTAGACCAGTTTAGCTCCGCCACGCTACCGCGCGCATGACACGGAAGGCTCAAACAAAACTGACAGCTGGTGGAGCTTTAAGTTTCACCGCTGAAGAAAAGCTGTTTCGTTAAAGCCGCGTTCATAGTTCGCGACTCGGGAGATTAGGATAGTAGGCGACAGGATATTAGGATAGTAGTAGAGTAGGAGATTGCGCTGACAAGATTGGATACGTATCGATTGAAATCGCTGGAGAGTAGTAGATTGGGCGACTTCAAGCGAATAGATCAATACATATCTAATCTTGTCAGCGCAATCTCCTTGTCGTGAAAACGGAATAAACTACGAACAAGCTGAGATTTGAGGGAGCAAACAATGGTGAGTATAATACGTGGTATTTAACCCAAACTACCTATAACCGCAAGCTGACCTGAAGGTGGGAGGAAAAGGACTAAAACTACAACTATAGAGGAGCTACCCCTTACGTACTAATTGTGGGGAGACCCTAGTTACCTGGAAAGGCCGGAGGGCTGAGTACAAGCCGATGGTTTACCTTTTAAAGGGCGCTGAGGGCACTGATCCAGGTAGGCCTTTTGTTAGTCCACAGGAGGTCTTTCGAGCCTCTCTTCTGGGGCAGCTTACCCATGGTGCACCATAAAGTAAGCCCTGCGCTGCTCGCGCCACGCGCCGCTTGACCTTCCACTCTACGACTTTTTGAAGGCGCCCGGCTTCAACACCGCGGCTGACGACGACCCTCGCCCGCATACTCTCCATCCCCACTGGACATCTCGAGAGCTGGTCCACCTACTTCCCGCACGGAAGCTGCACCGGTGCGACCGCGGCGAGCTGCTCTAGAGGCCTTCTGGAGTCCAACTCCAGGCTTCCCCGCCTTCTGGAGTCCAACTCCAGGCCAAGTTTCCTCCCCTGGTCCCAGGGGAGGAAACTTGGCGCCAATGGGCTTCTAGGGGCAGGTTGCCACAGTCCTGCCGGACTAAAAGCCCAATTCCTCCCCCGCCAGTTCGCATCCCGGGTTAGGATCGCTGCACCCACCGTCCAAAGTACGCCAAAAGATGGGGGAAGGCGCCTCCAGTAGTCGAATGCCCTGCCAAGTCCCCCTGTGGGACCACCGGCTCCGGCATGGCTGATGGGTCGGGTGCGGACAGTGGTAGCTGGCCGTCCCCTACCCGGTTCCTGGTCTTGAATTTGGAACCGAGCGGGTCCGTTTCGACGGTCCGATGCACCATGTCGCGAACGGTGTGTATGCTCCCCGACACTCGACCTCCCGCCGAGCTGCCCATCAGCCCACCACGCTGCCTCCTGAGCACCCGTAAGGAGGAGCGGACCCAACTACCCACCGGGGGCGCCCGTCGGAACATAAGGAACACAAGTAGGTTTACAATCAATTATTATGACGTAATAACTCACCACTCTCCTCGAACTCCCCGGGGTCACCTCTCTCAGAGGTGAGCCCCACCAGCTGACACAACGTATTAGACCCCCACGTTGGCTCGGCTTCTTCTGGGGGCTCCATGCGGCCGACGTGTCCTATCTGGGATGTTGTAAGGGCTGCTCCCAGACGGGGAGCAGGGGAAGGACACGACCGGCTTTGGGATGACAGGCGCTCCGCCAAGCATGGACTACGGGGCGACGTGCCCCTTCGCCTTAGCTGGCCTCATCGCGTTGCCCGGTGAACACCGACCTGCCACCGGTGGCCAGCCTCTACGAGCACCGCCGCTACGGACGGCGCACGTAGCGACCGACTGACTGGCCTCGACCGCAGGGAGGCGTAGCCAATGGCTCAAAGGCGCATTGGCATCCGAGAACAAGTGATTAGGATAGTAATAGAGTAGAAGTGTAGCGGATGCGACGGTGGCCCTCTCGGCGCGCGGAGCGAATACCGCTACACTTCTACTCTATTACTATCCTAATCTACTACTATCCTAATCTCGCCGTCAATACATATGTTTTTCATTGTCGCGTACTATCCTAATCTCCGAGTCGCGAACTATGAACGCGGCCCAAATGCGTTGGCTGTCCGTTGCATAAGCCGCCCATTTCGGCAGAAGCCACTGTTTGATAAGCGCAGTGAAGTGCACAGCTAAAGTGATGTATGTAAACAACCACCATGCATCGAGTATCGAGGTAATTTAGCGGTCGAATAATTTTTGATGATCTCAAAATAGAATGCCCAGTATTCATTATCGTATTTATTCGAGCATCTCATTCATCCTCAAGAACTCTGGAAGGTGTAGCGGTCGAAAGGTGTTTCAGTTTACAATGACAACGCTAATGAAATGATATTGATGCATTATCTAGAAACTGGGTTCAAGTGAACTCTACGTTCGTACACATATATTTACTATCAGTCTTTATCAATCGTTCTCATTCTCACTTTCTGACCCCCATCAAATATGTCCCGGCCCCCTCTTCTATCATACTTCAATACAGCGCTCCATGACTGTCTCACTGTTGCTGCGAAGGGCACTATGAATGTCGAAAAATGGACTTCAGCGCCTCTTATCTGCTTTTATCATTCTTTATCACATTCCGACCCCACCAAATATGTTCCCCCCTATATCATACATCAAAATGAGCCCCTTACGACTGCTGCGACGCGTGCTATGAATTTCGTGACACACATCACACACAGCGCTTTATATAAGTAGGGATAATCTTTACGCATTGAACATTGCTGAAATTATTCTGTGACATTCATGTTTTGTTCGTTTACATTACAAAATCAACGGATGTGGGGTGAGACGTCGGCGCTCACTTAAGGTTTTTGGATATCTTTGGAAGATCGTGTCGTAACTGAAGCGACCATCTGTAGACATTTTTGGGTCAGAGGACGAGGAGCTTGTAGCTGAAGCCAGAGCTAACTGGATCACGAGTCGTTGTCAGTGAGGTGCTCAATATCATTCCCTTAATCATAGCCGATTTCCTACAGAAGCACACCACGATTCCTATGCAAAATAAGTAGGCGTGCCCTACCATGGAGTAGTGTGTGAACATCGCCGTTTTGACGTCGGGGACTAGTTTCACGCTGAAAGCAACCAGAAAGGTATGATTTACTATTCCAGAACATACCTTGAGCTTTTCAAACGCATCCTCCACTTCTTCCACGGTGCTATTAGTGATATTCATCTCCAGTATTTGAAAACTGTGCTGCCCAGCGATGAAAATGAAGAAACTCATATTCACATAAGTTGTCTGAACCTTCACAGTGTTTGTCAAATGACTAATCCGCTTGTGTGATGTTTAGCTTCATAAGCATTTCACGGACCTAAAACCCACCAATAAAACGAACAGCAACTGAGAGTGGACAGCAAAACACGGCATGATTGCTTGATTGCAGCAGAAGAATGATTTCAAACTGTGCTGCGTCAGCTTATCTATTTGATATCTGCTCCTACATGTAAAGGATAAAGGATAAAGCATTTGCCGTTGATCAATCCCTTTTTGGGATGCGGCACGCATTCTACTTCCATTTGTACATTCGTAGTGGCGTTTGAATGCGATGTGGCCTATACAATGACTTGCGGGGCCAGCCGATGTACAAGTCAGTGTTTTTATCCTCCCAGACAAGTCTGGTACCAATTAACCGACCCCGGAGGGATGGAAGGCTTGGTTGGCCCGGGCGACTCACGACCCAGGATTGATCCCATGACTGCGCCTGCATGTCTTACTCTTTATAATTGGCTAAGTGTGTGTGTGTGAGTGTGTGTAATG